GTATCGAACCATCTCAGGCATTCTTGTATATGGATGACCTAATTGTCATCGGTTGTTCAGAAAAACACATGATTAAAAATCTTACAAACGTCTTTGATCTATGTAGAAAAAACAACCTCAAACTGCACCCAGAGAAGTGCACATTTTTCAGACACGAAGTGACCTTTCTTGGACACAAAGGTATTTTACCAGATAGTAAAAAATACGAAGTAATAGAAAAATACCCAGTCCCAACGGACGCAGACAGCGCTAGAAGATTCGTTGCATTTTGCAATTACTACAGACGTTTTATTAAAAACTTTTCCGATTATTCACGTCACATAACTAGATTATGTAAAAAGAATGTTAAATTTGACTGAACAGATAAATGTCAATACGCATTTGAATACCTAAAAACCCAATTGATGAAACCCACATTATTGCAATATCCCGATTTTAACAAAGAATTTTGCATAACAACAGATGCAAGCAAACAAGCATGTGGAGCTGTTCTTACTCAAGATTACGATAACACTCAGCTACCAGTAGCCTATGCATCAAGATCTTTTACGAAAGGAGAAAGTAATAAAAATACAACAGAACAAGAGTTAGCAGCTATCCACTGGGCAATAAACCATTTTCGGCCATATATTTATGGAAAACATTTCACAGTCAAAACAGACCATAGGCCTTTAACCTATCTATTTTCAATGACAAATCCAAGTTCAAAATTAACACGAATGAGATTAGACTTGGAAGAATATGATTTTACTGTGGAATATCTTAAGGGAAAAGACAACCATATAGCCGACGCGCTATCAAGAATAACAATAACGGATTTGAAAAACATCCAGACAAATAATAAAATTCTGAAAGTCACTACCAGAAATCAAAGTAAACAGAAAAATTCCTGCGCAGGAACAGAAAAAGAAAAAATAGATTTGCCTAGGCATATTCTAAATAAAGCTTCTCAGCCCAACGTATACGAAGTCATTGTTAATGACGAGGTACGAAAAGTAGTGACTTTGCGAATAACTGATTCACTTTGCTTACTAAAGAATGGCAAAAAGGTTATAGCAAGAATTGATGTTAGCGATTTGTACACCAATGAAATTCTCGACATAGGTCAGTTCTGTCAAAGGCTAGAAAAAGAAGCCGGTATACTTAATATCAGCCAACTCAAAGTGGCACCGAGCGAAAAGATCTTTGAAACCATTTCAATTGAATCTTTTAAAATTATGGGCAATAAAAAATTACAAACATTAAGAGTAGCGCTACTCAAGCCGGTGACCCAATTATCAAATAATGATAAAGAGAAAGAAGCATTACTGTTTACATTCCATGATGATCCAATACAAGGAGGTCATACAGGCATAGCTAGAACATTAGCAAAAATAAAAAGGCATTATTATTGGAAAAACATGACCAAAGATATAACAAAATATATAAGAAAATGTCCTAAGGGCCGGTTTCTCGAGTGCCGGCTAACATTTCTCGAACAGATAAAGTCCCTGCTAAAGCATTTTGGCTTTCTCGAGCATAAATGTGAGAGCTAACTTTGACAGGGACTCGGAGTCCTTTTTAAGTGTTTTCGACTCGATAGAATGACAGCTGATTTCCCAAAGCCAACTATGAAGATGAAACGAAATCACAGCTGACTTTTCCTTTAAATTATACCCAAACAGCTGATGAAATAATCGAAGCACGCCATTTTTTACCCTTTACAGCACAATTCTGTGCGTTAACAGCACTCTGTAATTGTTTCTCGTTCAGATAAATTAAAGCAGTCGAGAAAGCCGATTTGCTTTTACGAACAGTTTATCTGGTATTTAAGTTTTTCGAACAGATAGCTATCAGGGACTTTGACAGGGACTCGAGAAACCGGCCCTATATGCCAAAAAGCAAAGACAACAAAACATACGAAAACCCCATTAACTATCACCGAAACGCCACAAACGGCTTTCGACAGGGTAATTGTGGATACGATCGGTCCACTACCTAAATCTGAACAAGGAAATGAATACATAGTAACGCTAATTTGCGATTTAACTAAGTACCTTGTAGCAATACCAATCCAGAACAAAAGTGCAAAAACAGTAGCAAAAGCTATATTCGAAGATTTTATTCTGAAGTACGGTCCAATGAAGACGTTCATCACGGACATGGGAACAGAATACAAAAATTCGATAATTGAAGATCTATGTAAAAACTTAAATATCAAAAACATAACTTCAACAGCACATCATCACCAGACTGTAGGAACCGTGGAGCGAAGCCACAGAACATTTAATGAGTTCATCCGCTCATACATCTCAGTTGATAAAACAGATTGGGATGTATGGTTGCAATACTTCGTATACTGTTTCAACACAACACCCTCTAAGGCACATGACTACTGTCCATACGAGTTAGTTTTTGGTAAAACATCTAATTTAGCTAAACACTTCAATAGTATAGATAATATAAAACCATTATATAACACAGATGATTACGCTAAAGAATCTAAGTTTAGACTAGAACAAGCATTTAAGAGAGCTAGATTAATGCTAGAATGCCATAAACACAAAAAAAAACTTAACTATGACAGAAATATTTTGAACTTTGATTTAAAAATCGGAGACCAAGTTTTGCTAAAAAATGAAACAGGGCACAAGCTAGACTTTAAATACACTGGACCATATAAGGTAGAAAGTATACAAGAAAGAGAAAATATAGTAATTTCAAATAACAACAAGAAAGGAAGCTACCTTCGGCCAGCCGAAGCTTATATACCCTTGTAGATGAAAGAATACTCACTCGGTGCAGTTCCAGGGATTCCAGATTCAGCGTTTCGATTTATTTCAATTTTGTTTTTAAGTAGTTCAAGAATCAAAACGCCTACTTCCTACAAAGTTACAATGAATTTTCTTATATTTGATTGGGAGCCTTAAGATATAGTGGTCCGATCCGGCTGGCTCCGACATATGTACTACCTGCAATAGAAAGAAGACCTTCGGGAAAGTTTCATCGCGATAGCTTTAAAACTGAGAGACTAGTTCGCATAGAAACGGACAGACGGACAGACGGACAGACGGACAGACGGACAGACGGACATGGCTAGATAGACTCGGCTATTGGTGCTGATCAAGAATATATATACTTTATGTGGTCGGAAACGTCTCCTTCACTGCGTTGCAAACATCTGACTGAAATTATAATACCCTCTACAAGGGTATAAAAATAAGAAGCAAACAGTTCATAAGGATAGGTTAAAAATTTTTATTTCATAATCACTTTAATTCTCTTATATATTTATAACGTATGATCATACGCAATAAGAACCATATAAAAAAAAAAAATAAATAAAACCATAATTATATTGAAAAAAAAAAAAAATAAAATAAATAAATAATATATAAATATTACTTTTGTTTCAAAACAATACTTTCTAATTCAAAACAATTTTTAATAAGTTAAACTACATAAAAACAAAAAAAAAGAAACAATTAAATAAAAATATTTTCATTAAATATACACCTAGAAAATAACTCCATATAATTACGTTATTTTTCAAAAGGAGGGAGATGTAGTATGTTCACATATCGAATGCACACTGTACTCAGTGTTACGCATCGATTTAAGTACAGACACCTTATTTGGCATTTTGCATTTGGCCACAATAACAAAACACAAATACATTTATAATCCTAGCAGTTCCCGAGTGCCCGGTTATATGACCGCCCTCGAATGCGTGGGAACTGCAGTGTCAGCATATTTGATATGTGCGACCGCTCCGACGGCCAAGTGAACATAGTATCTCTCTCTCTCATATATAAGCACAATTATACATAAGCGGCGACCGCAGCTCTGCCGGCGTCTCTGCCGACATAGCCGGCCGATCTTAGCTTTATGCAAACATGTAATAGAATTAAGAATTCAGATATTAATAATAAAGCTTGGGGAGCGTACCACTGAGTCGCTCCCAAATTCAACAAAAATTGAAGAAATATTAAACATCCTACGCAGCGCAAGTTTGTTTCTAACGCCCACAATCTCTTAAATACGATCTTAAAAATTTCAATATTTCGGAAAAGTAAAAATGCAGTTTTATTGTGTTTATCAATATCTATCGAAATGAAATAATGTAATTTTTTAAATCGGACCATTCGTTAAAAAGTTACGGCGGATCAAAGTTTTTATCTCCTTCTCATTCCCTTTAGCTGAGTAACGGGTATCTGATAGTCGGGGCACTCGACTATAGCGTTCTCTCTTGTTTTTATTTTATACTTTTAAAAATTAAAGCATAAAAGAAACAGAAAAAAAACAGTTTTTAAAATGGTTTTTTGTCGAAATAAAAAGTTTTTTTTTATAAATTTTGACTTTGTCAGTTTGTCTCTGCCACGCCCATTACACTATGCAACATCAAATATTTACCTGTATGCTTTTATGTTCTTTGACGCGGCGCGACTGTGCAACGTTAGGACGCGAGGAGGAAGAGTTTTCCGGCGGGCCATGCGTCAATTGGCGACGCTCCCTATTAGTTGAAGCCTGAAGCGTTTTACGGGTCCGCAGTGTTGAAGGATATGATTAAATTTATTGTTGAAGTTTGAAGTAGTTTAGGGCGAAGGCGGTTGTATAATAAAATTCTCTCACGCTCTTTGCGAATTCGCTCCGTCTTTGTCAACTTTCGTTAAGCTAGGCTCGTTAAAACTAATTTAGATCGACCACATTTATTTTTCGCTTTGCCCAATTAAAATGTATAGCCACCCAAGTTTTCGGTATTTTCGTTGTATTTTTGGAAAAACAAATTATTTGAAATCGTTTAGATCAAACAAAGTAAGTATAAGTGATATTTATATCATTAAAATCGTAGTAATGGATGAAAATCAAGAATATATTTTTTTTATAGAATTAAACATGCTTTTTCTACCCATTACACACTTTCCAACGCAAAAAATAATGAGAAAAGAATATTAATATCCTCCATTCGAATAAAAACTTAAACTTTTATAAACTCAAAATATATATTTCATTTTTTCCAGTAAATTACTTTTAAAGGACACACACGCTTGCTTTTATCCGTATTACTCTGCGAACAATATTGATCGACTAGTGTCTTCTGGATACAATCATACTCAAACGAAAGAAGATTTATCACAAAGGAAAGTATATCAGTTAACTGTTATTTTTATTAGTAATAAATAATAAATATATTTTACCATAGTTTGCTCAATATTTTTTTTTTTTTTAAAACACCAAAAACGATGATAGCAGTTCATGGTAGAGTTTTTTTTTTTGATATTTTGTTTTTATAAATATTTTTTTAAGAAAAGTGGTTTGATATGTTCGTGTTTTTATTTATATCTCGAGTTGCGCTTAACCAAGTCAGGTGATATGTGCTTTAAATTACAACTATAATGACACCCTTTAACTTTGCCGAATAAAGGAACCGTGTACATTGAGCTTATTGCGTAGCTAGTTGGCAAACTTTGAAAATTAAAAATTTTTTGAGTTTTTACAAATTTCTCAGTCAAAAATGATAAAAAAAAAATTCACATTGTTAATGTTTGCCAACCTGCAGCTCACAATATACTCAAGTATATTATTAATTTTTTTGGAAAAGTTTATATAAAAGCTGCAATATAAAACAAATATCGCCTATACGTTAAACACCAAAAAACTCGGACATGCCAAAAAAAAATTTTTTTTTTAATCTTAAAAAAAATGTATTTTTTTAAACTTGAACTACCATTATGATTTTTCTATGCGAACTAGTTTCTCAGTTTTAAAGTGTAACGAACTGTTTTTAACTGTTTGATCGCTACTTAAACGGCGCGACTAGCTCAGAGATATTGTGTGTTCGTCCCACCAAATTTGTATTGCGTGACTGCCCGTGACCCAAGAAAATGCAGAGATATCCGATTGGGACAAATCGGAAAACTTTATTAGCTTTTCTTTTCGCTGGAATTGGTTTCTTCGTCAGCTGGCTATTGCGGCTGGCCGGGTCGGCGACGTGCCTTCCTCGGCTCAAGATTCACTTCGTGCGTTCTCGGCGGCGCTCCTCGACGGCGTCGCTGCTCTCGTCTCCCTTCGTGGTGCTTGTGGACTCCTGCGGCGTCGTTCTCCAACTGCGTCTCTCCAGTTCCGCCCGGCTTGTAGGACTCAAGAAGTATGCACAACCTTCCTTTCGGGTCCGACCAGAATGATCCTGGGATCACCTGTTTCGTCGTGTTTCCTGGGGTAGGTCTGGCTCTAGCCTGAGCAACAAATGTCCCGACAGGTCAAATCCGAGGATTCAGCCTTATCGTCAGTCCACCGTAACCCCGACGCCTGGCACAAACTCTTGATCCGCGCTTACCCTGCCGGTAGCTCGTCCTTCTCTCGACTCTGCTCCTGTCCTGCACTCGTCTCCACTCCAATCTCTGTGTCCTGCAGATCTTACCGTTGCAGTCTCAGCCTTGGCCTAGCGTCTTGACTCTCTGATCTGGGCGTTGAGCACTCGGTATCTACGGTACTTTCACGGCCACGCACTCGATTGAATCCTCGCACTTGTATTCTTGATCTCTGGTTCACTGGTTGCACTTGTACTTTCGCTCGCGTATCTTGGTTGTCTGTCCTGTACTCCGGCTGCCAGCGTCGCGTCTTCCGACCGACACGTCCCGTGCCTCCTGGCTGCATGAACTGCGGCGCTTACTGCACTGACTGTTGCGCGAACTCCAACTAACTGCCTTGGGCTGCGCCTGCGCCGTCCTTTTTATAGGCAGCGGCGGGGTCCCGTTATTTCCCTTTTTGCACACGGCTCGCTAGGGTCCAATGTCCAAGTGTGTCCCGTTAGTTCACGGTGCATCCTCTTTGCGCCGGTTCAAAGTCCACGGCTTTACCGTTCGACCTCTTTGCCCTTTGGCGGCGTGGGTCCAAGGTCCAGCGTGGTACCGTTACTTCTCTCTCTCCGCTTTAGCCGGGTCCAAGGTCCAGTATTTACCGGTGGACCTGGATGCCCTCGGATTCTGCCGCATTCTCGCTGCCTTCGCTATTGCTAGGGGCTCTCCTGCCTCGAGATTTGTGGGGAGTTTTACGACTCCTCACAAAAGCTATCGTGATGAAACTTTCACAATAGTCTTCTTTCTATTACAGGTAGTACATATGTCGCACTATAGGCTGGATGACCACTTTAGGTGGCCAAAAGTGATTTTTGGAAGTCTTTAATATTAAGATCCAATGATGTCATTCTGTTAGGATAACATCAGATTTTAATGCTACGTACCAGAAATTTTAACAGAGCCTCGCACTGTTAAGGTACACGCTGTTAAAACAGCTGTTGGCAGTGACGGGCGCACGTGGAGCAAATAATTGGAAAAAATAAGGACTTTTAATTTAATTTAAATCGCAAATTACAACGATTATAATAAAACGTGCTTTACGGCATCGAAAAAGGGTGGATTAATTTATTTTTTGGTATATTTTAAGTGTTAAAATATAAAGCGGGTTCTTTGCAATTGACAGTTTATTTATATCAAAGCATGCAAATAACTGTTAACCGTTTTTTTCCATACGATCTACTCCCGAGAACAACCGAAAATAGCATGCCCCTCGTTCTCTCTCTGCGCAGCACACTTCGTTTCCTTTCGTTTTGGTTTTCGGTTGAGCCTTTTACGTTGAGCTGTTCGTGAGACGCTCTGTTACGAACCTCGTTCAACGAGAGATACGAATGTCGCTCGCACAGGGAGACTTATTAAAAGACCGATTGACTGAAAAAGTCATCGCAAAAAGTCTTTTCACTAATTCAACTATACAATGTATTCCCTTTGAAAGTACGTGCGAGTGAAAGGGAGAGCAATATCGCCCAAGCACGTTAACGTTAACACATGCGCAAAAGACTTTTTGAAACGTCGTTCAGGAGCAATCGGTCTGTAAGCGAGCCGAGCAAAAGTAAGCCGAAAAAACTGCTCGTCAGCTGAGTGCGAGCAAAATTTCTGTACGAACAATTCAATCGGTTGCTCTCTGATTGTTTGCTCAAAGTCTCAGAGAAAAACAGTTATTTGGGGACCGCACGAATCGGTCAACAGTTATTTGCGAGCTATGATTTATATCCTTTTAACTTTTAACAAATCAAAATAAAAACTGATCTTTAAATAGACAAACAAAGAGATTTAGTTTCACCTAAATATTTATACTGGGCTGTAGGGAATTCAATTCTTGTTCATATGAATGTTATTTGAAGGTGCACTTTTGCGCACTTTTTCTTAAATCTGTATTTAAAGGCCTCGACTTAAAACGGCAAAATACACGCAAAATTGGTGTACAAATGTCAAGATACAGTTATCTTTCTAATTATATATTAGTAATTAAAAAATTATTTAACATCATCTTTTCAAAAGAATAACTTTGTTAAAAAGTATTTTTGAAATTTTTTGTGTTTCCTATATTGATTTTAATAATAAAAATTCGATTACACCCAACAAAAAAATGGAAGGCACTCAATTTTTTTTTATATTCTTTTCATAATAAACTAAACTAAAATTTTTAAAATTATTTATTTTTATATTAAAGGTTCAATTCAAAAAAGAAAACTTGTGAATGTTGCTTCGTTTTTAAGTTATTAATTAAGGCCACAAAAAGTGGTCATCCAGCCTATAGTGTGTCGGAGCGAGCCGATTAGGACTATTTCTTAGGGCTCCCATAAGAATATTCAAACAAAGTACGCGTTTTGATTTTTGACAACTTAAAAACAACATTTTAAATAAACCATAATATATTTGGAATCCCTGGAAATGCACCTATCAAGTCAGCATTAAAATATAGGTATTGTTTGTGCCTACGCGAATGTAAACACACAGACGGGTCTGCCGGGGAACAGTGATAATTTGCACTGTCGGCACGGAGACGCTTTGGAAGTACGAGGCCTCTTTCCGGAGGTCAGCATTAAAAAATAGGTATTGTTTGTGCCTACGCGAATGTAAACACACAGACGGGTCTGCCGGGGAACAGTGATAATTCGCACTGTCGGCACGGAGACGCTTTGGAAGTACGAGGCCTCTTTCCGAAGGTCAGAAAGTAAGACCGCGGAGTTATAAGATGGATTGATTATAGATTTATTGTGAAGTTGGTACATGCTTATATACTAATTGGAGATTCGGACGTTTAGTGGACAGAATAGCAAAGTCAGGTGTGTTCTAGAGTAGGTCAGTGAAATTGATTACGGTAACAGACTGCGTACACCCAAAAAATGGACTTAAACTAATGTAATATGGACTAATTTTGGACCTAAGGAATCTTAGACTTGTTTTAAGTCCATTGTTGGACTTAACACACTGACTTGTTTTAAGGCCATGATGGTCTTAAAAAAAGACCATATTACCCAAAAATTTAAGCACTTAGGTATCCATCTAAACTTACAAAAGCAGTTAGCCACTTGAAAATTTAATAAGGGCGTAGCCCATAGGAAACTTTGCCAGCTCGCGGTTATTTTGAACCGGGTTCGAGTCCAGTACAAGACATGTTTTATTTTTGTGTTTTTTTACATTTATTTTTTAGTTTTATTATTGTTTTTATTTTTAATTGTTATTGGAAAATGAATTTTACAACTGAAAAAAACTTCCAACTCATTTGCGCCAGTGGGATTCGAACCGGGGTCCTCTCGCTTCAGGGGCAGACACCTTACCAGTCACACCATCAGACACTGTTAAGTACATGTGTCTAAGGGCCGGTTTCTCGAGTGCCGGCTAACATTTCTCGAACAGATAAAGTCCCTGCTAAGGCATTTTGGCTTTATCGAGCATAAATGTGAGAGCTAACTTTGACAGGGACTCGGAGTTAAGCGTTTTCGGCTCGATAGAATGACAGCTGATTTCCCAAAGCCAACTAAGAAGTAGAAACGAAATCACAGCTGACTTTTCCCTTAAAATATACCCAAACAGCTGATGAAATAATCGAAGCCCGCTTTTTTTTCACAATTCTGTGCGTTAACAGCACTCTGTAATTGTTTCTCGTTCAGATAAATGAAAGCAGTCGAGAAAGCCGATTTGCTTTACGAACAGTTTATCTGGTCTTTAAGTTTTTCGGACAGATAGCTATCAGGGACTTTGACAGGGACTCGAGAAACCGGCCCTAAGCGACACATAAAATCATTTTTAAAATTTTTAATTAGATAAAAATTATTAAATTATTATGTGTA